TTCGTTGTTGTTGTTGTTGTAACGGCAGAATTCTGCCGAGTTGACAGTCCTTGGCCGGATAAAAATCCGGGTCCGTTCCGGTTTTCGTAGACCCGACTGTCGTGGGAACGGCGCTCCATTTCGTCGTAATTTTTGGTAAACAAATGGGGGTTAAAACGAGTGTAAAATGTAATTTTTAAAATGCAGATTTTTTAGGTAAAAAACCTGCTAAAAGTGTAAGATATGTAGTTATTTACAAGTTTATAGTGTAATTTATTTAATTTTAAGTGAAAAATGTGAATAAAGTGTGTTTAATGTGGTGAAATAGCGTCTTGAAATGTATGAATTTTGCGAATTTTTGAACTTTAAGGTTGAATATCTCTTAAAATAAGCGTTTGCGATACCTATAACCCTATATACGGTACCTTCAGCTCGCGGCGTCAAAGAAATCGGAATTGTGCCATAGATAATACTACTACTGCCACCTACATATATGATTTCTATTAGTTAGATTATAATTATTAGTTAATGAGATACAGCATTATTGGAAAGCAACTTGTGTTCGTAATTCTCCGAATTTCATAATCAAACAACAATAATTTGTATAATTTTTGATTAAGGATTATTTTGAATTAGTACGCATATACTTCATCGTTTATGTTTAAATATTCTTCGCTAGAGAACTCCGATAATGAACGCGTCCGATTGCTGCAAAACTCAAAGAGCTATAGGCAGAACAGCGTCCTCCGACGTGCTATTTATAGGCACGCTGCTGGCATATGCTACGTGCCTCAATTTTTAGACCTATAATATCTTCGAAAATATTTATTTAAATCAAATGCTGTAAATTCCAATATACTTAGATTTATATTAAATGTTATTGTGGGATATATATAAGAGACATTTACCATCGCACATTAGTTTAGAAACTCAAAGAAACAGCATTTCTCCACTATTTAATGGATGTTATTATACCTATAAACTTTCCTTTCGTTATTAAAAATAACATCATTTGCATAGTTTTAAAGGTTTAAGCATACAAAGGAACATAGTTAAAGAAAAATTGGCTTTCTTTTATACTCTGCATTGATTACGTAATAATACGTATTTTATAAGAGAACTACGCGAAAATTCTTCAGTCACCCAGGTATTGGCTGGACCAGGGTTTTTTATAGCGCGGC